AGATTACATCTTCAAGTCTCTGTAAACTATATGTACAGATTACATCTTCAAGTGCCTGTAACCTATATGTACAGATTACATCTTCGGGTGTCTGTAACCTGTATGTACAGATTACATCTTCAAGTGTCTGTAACCTATATGTACAGATTACATCTTCAAGTGCCTGTAACCTATATGTACAGACTACATCTTCAAGTGTCTGTAACAGGTATGTACAGATTACATCTTCAAGTGTCTGTAACCTATATGTACAGATTACATCTTCAAGTGCCTGTAACCTATATGTACAGATTACATCTTCAAGTCTCTGTAACCTATATGTACAGATTACATCTTCAAGTGTCTGTAACCTATATGTACAGATTACATCTTCAAGTGTCTGTAACCTATATGTACAGATTACATCTTCAAGTGTCTGTAACCTATATGTACAGATTACATCTTCAAGTCTCTGTAACCTATATGTACAGATTACATCTTCAAGTCTCTGTAACAGGTATGTACAGATTACATCTTCAAGTGTCTGTAAACTATATGTACAGACTACATCTTCAAGTGCCTGTAACCTGTATGTACAGATTACATATTCGGGTGCCTGTAACCTGTATGTACAGATTACATCTTCAAGTCTCTGTAACCTGTATGTACAGATTACATCTTCAAGTGCCTGTAACCTATATGTACAGATTACATATTCGGGTGTCTGTAACCTATATGTACAGATTACATCTTCGGGTGTCTGTAACCTATATGTACAGACTACATCTTCAAGTGTCTGTAACCTATATGTACAGATTACATCTTCAAGTGCCTGTAACCTATATGTACAGACTACATCTTCAAGTGTCTGTAACCTATATGTACAGATTACATATTCGGGTGTCTGTAACCTATATGTACAGATTACATATTCGGGTGCCTGTAACCTATATGTACAGATTACATCTTCAAGTGTCTGTAACCTATATGTACAGATTACATCTTCAAGTCTCTGTAACCTATATGTACAGATTACATCTTCAAGTGCCTGTAACCTATATGTACAGATTACATCTTCGGGTGTCTGTAACCTGTATGTACAGATTACATCTTCGGGTGTCTGTAACCTATATGTACAGACTACATCTTCAAGTGTCTGTAACCTATATGTACAGATTACATCTTCAAGTGCCTGTAACCTATATGTACAGACTACATCTTCAAGTGTCTGTAACCTATATGTACAGATTACATATTCGGGTGTCTGTAACCTATATGTACAGATTACATCTTCAAGTGCCTGTAACCTATATGTACAGATTACATCTTCAAGTGTCTGTAACCTATATGTACAGATTACATCTTCAAGTCTCTGTAACCTATATGTACAGATTACATCTTCAAGTGTCTGTAACCTATATGTACAGATTACATCTTCAAGTCTCTGTAACCTATATGTACAGATTACATCTTCAAGTGTCTGTAACCTATATGTACAGACTACATCTTCAAGTGTCTGTAACCTATATGTACAGATTACATATTCGGGTGTCTGTAACCTATATGTACAGATTACATATTCGGGTGCCTGTAACCTATATGTACAGATTACATCTTCAAGTGTCTGTAACCTATATATGTACAGATTACATCTTCAAGTCTCTGTAACCTATATGTACAGATTACATCTTCAAGTGTCTGTAACCTATATGTACAGACTACATCTTCAAGTGTCTGTAACCTATATGTACAGATTACATATTCGGGTGTCTGTAACCTATATGTACAGATTACATATTCGGGTGCCTGTAACCTATATGTACAGATTACATCTTCAAGTCTCTGTAACCTATATATGTACAGATTACATCTTCAAGTCTCTGTAACCTATATGTACAGATTACATCTTCAAGTGCCTGTAAACTATATGTACAGATTACATCTTCGGGTGCCTGTAACCTATATGTACAGATTACATCTTCAAGTCTCTGTAAACTATATGTACAGATTACATCTTCAAGTGCCTGTAACCTATATGTACAGATTACATCTTCGGGTGTCTGTAACCTGTATGTACAGATTACATCTTCAAGTGTCTGTAACCTATATGTACAGATTACATCTTCAAGTGCCTGTAACCTATATGTACAGACTACATCTTCAAGTGTCTGTAACAGGTATGTACAGATTACATCTTCAAGTGTCTGTAACCTATATGTACAGATTACATCTTCAAGTGCCTGTAACCTATATGTACAGATTACATCTTCAAGTCTCTGTAACCTATATGTACAGATTACATCTTCAAGTGTCTGTAACCTATATGTACAGATTACATCTTCAAGTGTCTGTAACCTATATGTACAGATTACATCTTCAAGTGTCTGTAACCTATATGTACAGATTACATCTTCAAGTCTCTGTAACCTATATGTACAGATTACATCTTCAAGTCTCTGTAACAGGTATGTACAGATTACATCTTCAAGTGTCTGTAAACTATATGTACAGACTACATCTTCAAGTGCCTGTAACCTGTATGTACAGATTACATATTCGGGTGCCTGTAACCTGTATGTACAGATTACATCTTCAAGTCTCTGTAACCTGTATGTACAGATTACATCTTCAAGTGCCTGTAACCTATATGTACAGATTACATATTCGGGTGTCTGTAACCTATATGTACAGATTACATCTTCGGGTGTCTGTAACCTATATGTACAGACTACATCTTCAAGTGTCTGTAACCTATATGTACAGATTACATCTTCAAGTGCCTGTAACCTATATGTACAGACTACATCTTCAAGTGTCTGTAACCTATATGTACAGATTACATATTCGGGTGTCTGTAACCTATATGTACAGATTACATATTCGGGTGCCTGTAACCTATATGTACAGATTACATCTTCAAGTGTCTGTAACCTATATGTACAGATTACATCTTCAAGTCTCTGTAACCTATATGTACAGATTACATCTTCAAGTGCCTGTAACCTATATGTACAGATTACATCTTCGGGTGTCTGTAACCTGTATGTACAGATTACATCTTCGGGTGTCTGTAACCTATATGTACAGACTACATCTTCAAGTGTCTGTAACCTATATGTACAGATTACATCTTCAAGTGCCTGTAACCTATATGTACAGACTACATCTTCAAGTGTCTGTAACCTATATGTACAGATTACATATTCGGGTGTCTGTAACCTATATGTACAGATTACATCTTCAAGTGCCTGTAACCTATATGTACAGATTACATCTTCAAGTGTCTGTAACCTATATGTACAGATTACATCTTCAAGTCTCTGTAACCTATATGTACAGATTACATCTTCAAGTGTCTGTAACCTATATGTACAGATTACATCTTCAAGTCTCTGTAACCTATATGTACAGATTACATCTTCAAGTGCCTGTAACCTATATGTACAGATTACATCTTCGGGTGTCTGTAACCTATATGTACAGATTACATCTTCAAGTCTCTGTAACCTATATGTACAGATTACATCTTCGGGTGTCTGTAACCTATATGTACAGATTACATCTTCAAGTCTCTGTAACAGGTATGTACAGATTACATGTGTCAGTCTCTGTAACCTTACAGATTACACATTCCAGTCTCTGTAACCTACATATATCTTCAAAAATATCCAATCTAGAGTCACGAGGAATTCTATATTCACAATTTTGACTTATCAGCTCTGACAGGATGTCCTAGTGCTTGCACTTCTGCGTGCTCATTGCCAACCCAACTACTTCAACTCACAGCATTCAACCAAATACACCAGCCAAATTGGAATAACCATGACATTAGGTAATATTATTAAGACTTAGTCTTTGTTTCACTGAATAATTAAAGTGCATTGGACAAAATCAATAAACAATTATCACTTATTGTTACCATATTAAGCTTATGAAGATCTCTCAAGTTGTTGAACACAATCAATGGGCCTCATTGGCTGGTGACTAGATACATATTATTGGATTATTGACAAATTGTCATAAACTATTATAGGTTGTCATAATCACAAACATATTTGAATTGCATATGAACATCTTTTGAAAAGCAAAATCCTTTTTAACATTAAGACATAATGCATTATGTATATCATGTAATGAGCTCTGTCATAGGGTGTCACATGTGTTGGTGGGTGTCGGTAGGACTGATTGCCCTTCAAACAAGAGGATGTCTATGCATTAACATTGATGACAATAACATATCAAAGTTGTCAAGATAAGAGCCTAAAGAACTGAACAAATTCTTTTGACATTGATTCACTTGTAAATAAAACATTTCTTTGACAACCAAGTCATTTTTATTCCACTTATATGTAATACTGTGATGGTCTAACTATTGGATGATACACAAGAAAAGAATACGCAATCAAATTATGCCCCACAATCTTCTCTATCCGCCCTAATTTGTCTCTTGGCATTATTTATTGTTTTCACTTGACTCTTGAATTTATAGACCCTCAAAGGCAAAGTTTTCATGTCAAAACAATATTTTACTACACTTAGTCTTTAGGCAAATTTGTATAAATTGATACTATGTAGCTGATTATAGTTGTCTATAAAAGTATATATTTTATTTGTGGATTAGCAGTCAGATGTCAATGCCATATAAATGTTTACAAACTGAGCAGGGGACAAGGCAATATGTCAACTGTTTAAAACATATCAGTAACATGAAGGTTAAACTCATCTTCAGCTTACAAACTTTTTTTTTTCAAAAGCTTTGCCTCTCAAACAAAATAATCAATACCAGTGAACTGGCACATCTGATACTGGAGATAGTTAAAAAATATGATTAATGCCCATAATTACATTAGGTACCAAGCATTCACGAAGCATGTCCTCAATTTGTGGAGGCACCAGGAGCTGGGTGATTCCCCTGTCCTGAAGGCCCACACCCACCATGTCTCCCATACAGTCCTATCGGTTATACCACTGGCCTGCATAAAGTTTTCCAACTCATCACGCAAGCCCAACATTGATCTTACTTGTGACAGCAGTATGTCTGTGCTATTACTGTATCCAGTAGTCCATAAAGTTGGCAAGTTCTAGGTGTCGCCTAGCTCCTTCCTACAGTAAGCAAGCAGTGTGGGAGATGTCCTATCGGAATGGTACCAGTAAGAGGGCAGCATAGACCTATCCCACGACTAGCAGAGCATGGGCCCACTTGGTTGTCACATGAGATCCCAGCCAATGACATTCCGATAGCAGGCAATCTCACTCCTTGCCAATCAATACCAAGCCACTTCACTCAAAGACAGATGGCACTTTAATTCCATATGGTTATGCTAATGCCAGTGTCTTTCATTAAAATTTCCTTTGTGAAGCAATCTCGGCCTAATTAATTCCTGAGACACACAGCATGACAAATCATCCCCTACCCCAGGGATGTGCCCTCAGCTGATCAAATGAGCATAGGCATGTGGGGGTTGGGCAGGACGAGAAGGGACTGGGGAAACTAGCACATGATCTGAGAGAATGTGACACAAGTAAGGGAGACCCAACCAACGCGGACGCAACACGGGCCCATATTGATTTCAACATCTGCAAATGTCATGATGTTTGGATCATCGCGATCATTTTGACAGTGCCACCACATGCATGTCGTTTTCGAGAATGTAACAAGTTACAATGAGGACAAATATTGACCGACGACTCCACGAGTCGCCGCGTCGGAACCCTGGTCTCCTATTTCAGGGCAAAATTTATTATAAGTGCAGATTCATTCTGAATTATTAACATTTGAAAGGAGGAGACCAAAAGTTGACGAATCTGAGACTCGTCTGCTAGGAATTGTCATCACGCCGATCGATAGGCCGGCGGAGGCAATCAAAGATACGTCGTCTGCTAGATATAATCGAATAAATAATGCAATTTCTAACGCTATTAGAATATAACGTGTTGATTAATGATTTGGAATACATACTTTACGTGTTACTGCATCAAAATATGAGCTGTTAGACAACGGTCAACATATAGTTTCAAATCGTAAGGCCAAATGAAATCCAATACCATGCTTAAAATTAGTTAACTCACCGCCGCCATCTTGTCGGTGCCAGTCTTACGAGCATTGACTTTTACGACATTACCTTATTAATCAGTAATTATTGCATCATATGTTTCATGATATATAGTCTAAGGGATAATTCTTCGCATGATACGTAGATATGGCCAGTTGTATTTATTGCTTGTAGTTGTTGCGACAATGGGTCACATGGTGTAAACAAACCGGAAACCGTCTCGGCGGCGGATTTACAGTTGATCATCAAGCATGACAAGTGCGGTGATATGAAGATATCAACCAAATGCAAGTTTGCATTACGTTTGTTATTGTTAAAGACATGAATAATGAATACTTAAATTTAGTATATGCTATACAAAGGAAATTATGATATTGCTGCAAAAGACAACCCGTCATTGTAAAATATGTGGGTCATTATGCCAACAAACATGTCCTGTCAAGTTTCTTTGATTCAATCGCACAGCCTAAACTCGCAGTTTACAGACGATGAAGTTGTCTTAAGGAATTTACAGCGTGTCAGTGTGATGAAACACACCAAAACAAAGACTGTTTTGGTAAGAGTTTGTGTACAATGAATTGAAACCCAATAAAACGTTTCAGTTCGAAGTTCAGTTTAACAATGTATATCCCACCAAACACTGAGCGTTTCATTCAGTGTTTACAAAACATAATTATTTTTATGTCTGTAAATAGAGTCCATTATATTTGTTTTTCTAACTTAGTTGACCTCAGTTTTTTTAGATGTTCCCATAAATGATGAGGTACACCTACAGAATACCGGATACCTGTCTGCAACGTTTGTTTGATGGTATACTCGGACCCCATGGTACCGCGGCATTCATCGTATCGCGGCATTTGTGATTTCCGATAGTTCACGCGGGACACGCCTCTTAGCGGCTGTCTATTGATGCAAATCAGTAACCAGGAAGTGCTCACTTCGTAAACAATTTCAATTTCCTCGGAATGTTCCGTCTGCTGTAAGTAAGGAGTTATTAATGTGTTGATACATATTTCTGGCATCTGTTGTAATATTGCCTTACCCCCATCTGTCAATGGCCAACGATATAACCCGCAGTACCCCAAGTAAACTTTCTCTATCGACCTGAACTAGATCATCTGCATATTCATGGCGACTAATGAGGTAACGGAAGTTACGTAGTCCGCACATTTTTCCCCGCTCTGTGCCCAGAATCTATTGGGAGATCATAAGGGCCATAATGCCAAACTTAAAAAATACGTTCTTCACTAGTAACCAAAAGATAAATACATACTTTGGGCATACTGGGAGTGCTTTTTATATATTTATTGTTTACTTTTAACATTTTTCCATTTTGTGACAATTTGTGTCATCCAATTTTTTTTAAACAATCTTAAAATATAATTTCTGATATTTTGTTGTTGACTTGTAAAAATATTTTTTTCTTAATTTTCGGTAAAAATGCATTGAATCCTTATTGCTGATAACACATTTATAATTTTGCTTGTGCTGTCTTTGCACTTGTCTGGACAAATCACTGATGTCTAGCATGATCATACCAAGTGGTTGGTAGAATTATGCCCTCTTTTTGTCCAATTCGGACCTCCATACACAACTTTTCTCTGTACCGCGATACGATGGAGTTCTCTCCCTTGTCAAACAGAGCGTGAGGCCCAGCTTTTACTCGGAGCTACTAATGTAAATAATGAACTTTTATCAGTAAAATATGTGTTGTTTGATAACATGAATGATATGTGATACAGAGAACACGAATAATCATAACGGTTAGTGAGTGCATTTTGTTCTGTTCAGCGTACATGACAAGTACCGCAATACCTCGAGGTTGCAGGATACTTATAGGCCTTACTAATATAACAGCATGCAACAGCATAAATATATTTGAAATGGAGCAATGAAGCTCAAAATATGCAGAAAGATGATTCTTCTTGCATTTATATCAATATGATTAAACCTCAAAATTGAATATCAAAGTAATTCATTAACATCCAAATCAACACTGAAATATTGGAGCACCTTTAGAATACAGCACAACAACTTCTCGTGAGGACGATCTCTGCCGTAGGTCACATGTCTCAAGACAAGCAACCATTTTTTTGTGACAATCCGTCGGATTCGAACCCGTGGCCTTCGGATTGTTAGCCTGACAGCTAACCGACTGAGCTACGTCCACACTGTTAAACTTAGTGCAAATTTACCTAGTCATGCCTATGATGTTACGGAACTGAACGAAAAGGGTCGAATAGGTAACGGACACTTACGAAGGTTACGGGTAGGCATGGTGTCTCGCAACTTTAGTCTACGGACACTTACGATGATCCCAATGCCATTTGGCACACTCGTCCCATTCCGTAATCTACAAGATACCGAGTGGTGGGGAATGAGCCGATATGCCGCGAACTGAAAACGGCCTAGGCGTCGGACGTCAGACGTCGAACTCGCGAGTACGCATGAATGAAATGGTATTTAATAATTCGTCGGGTGATTTTTGTGACAGAAAAGTGTGGTAGGGAACACTGTAAGGATGATGTGGATAATTGTAAGGAACAATGGAGGTATAAGCATGACTAGTGACTAGTGAGTTGGCTTTTGAATCAGTACTGAAAAAATGTAGCCGGTGAAAGTGGCTTGTGTGAATGTTCCAGGACAGTTTCCAGTAGCCAAAATATTCGACACAAAACCATTTTATCCTTTTTACTCGACGTTTTTGTGTGAAGAATATTAGGAGCCGCTATATAATCTATAATAGCCACTAAAGGAGTACCTAACCCTAATGATCGTCAAGGGGATACAAGGGTTAAGGATAGACTTCGGGTAATCTAATAGCAACTAAACGGGTTCCTAACCCTAATGATCGTAAAGGGGGTGATTGATCGTAAAGGGGATCCAAGGGCTAAGGATAGAGAGTTCGGGGTAACCTACCCTAAAACTGGCGACATTTAGATGTGTTCAGCGCCAATATAATATCCCTAATAAACTGCATTCTTGTGCATAATAATGAAAATTAATGAACCGAAAAATAATATATGTATATTAGTTCCCATTGATAACCATTTTATCCACTTCAATTACGAGAAAAACGAAATAAAAAATATATAAAAAATAAAAGTGCTTTCGTAAACTAGCACTTGCTCTAAAATGCGCCGCCGCAGGCTATAATTAGTAAACAAATACTCAAAACTCTCAACACCGCAGGGTGTATTCAATGACATTGCGTGTAGAGATGATAGATCACTGGGAGGAGCTTATGCGCACTCGATGACCCCTGACGTCACAGGGCATTGTTTTGCTGGTGTGACTGGCATCAAAATACTACAAATTACGTCATAGGGTATGATCACGTGTTTGAAAAGTTTGCGGTACTGTATTCTAAAGGTAGGCCGAAATATTTCTCGAAAATAGAAGTTCGAGAATGACTTGCAGCAACCTCACCAGTGACATCATCAAGGACACATTTAATCAAACACATGGTAATTCATTTTTACTTTGGAAACTAAAAATGATGTTTACTTTTGATGGCATTTGTTTCAAATCATGTTTTGGGCAAGCCCCTAAACTTCAAAGAGTGGTGGCTAAAAACGTAGCGACTGTTACTGACGAAGGAACTCATGCACATTCTTTACCAAAATAGTGGAAGGTTTCTGGTATTCTCTGTTCTAGCCAATACTGAATACAATAATTCATCTTTCAATTTTCGTTAAGCTGACACGACAATATTGTAAATAAATCTGCCATCATACCCTGACCATACAACACATATTTTACCTTCTTTAGTAGTATACATACAATTGCTCATTGCAATTAGTAGCTAAAACTTCACCAGAAAAATCATTGGTACATAAACATGATAAATATTAGGGCTCTGACGGGTAACTCGGGTCTGGTGTGTACTGAGTAGGACCCAGGTAAGAAGAGGACTACCCGGACCCATGGTCTGTCACTTGTCACGTGATATATTGTTTAATGAGAAACAATCACTAAGTACTATAACTCCAAGGGGAGCACCTTTAGAATACAGTACCACAACTTCTCGTGAGGACGGTCTCTGCCGTAGGTCACATGTCTCAAAGACAAGCAACCAGTTTTTGTGAGAATCCGTTGGACGCGAACTCGCGACCTTCGGATTGTTAGCCCGACAGCTAACCGACTGAGCTATGTCCACACTGTGAAACAAAGTGCAAATTTACCTATTCATGCCTACGACGTTACGGAACTGAACGAAAAGGGTCAAATAGGTGACGGACCCTTACGAAGGTTATGGGTAGGCATGGTGTCTCGTGACTTTAGTCTATCGACACTTACGAATGATCCCAATGCCTTTTGGCACACTCGTCCCATTCCGTAATCTACAAGATACCGAGTGGCGAGGAATGATCCGATATGGCGCGAACTGAAAACGGCTCAAGGCGCCAGACGTCGCGAGTACGCATGAATGACGAGTTATTTAATAATTTGTCGGGTGGATTTTGTGACAGAAAAGTGTGGTAAGGAACGCTGTTACGATGATGTGGATAATAGTAAGGAACGAGGGAGACATGTGCATGGCTAGTGACGACACAACGGTGAGTTCGCTTTTGAATCAGTACTGAAAAAATGTAGCCGGTGAAAGTGGCTTGTGTGAATGTTCCAGGACAGTTTCCAGTAGCCAAAGTATTCGACACAAAACCATTTAATTCTTTTTACCCGATGTTTTTGTGTGAAGAATTACATTAAGGAGAAACTAAATGGGTAGATTTACTGAACCCTAATGATCATGAAGGGATGATTGATCGTAAAGGGGATCCAAGGGCTAAGGACAGAATTCGGGTAATCTAATAACCACTAAACGGGTACCTAACCCTAATGATCGAAAAGGGGTGATTGATCGTAAAGGGGATCCAAGGGCTAAGGATAGAGTTCTACCCTAACACTAGCGATATTTGGATGTGTTCAGCGTCAATATAATATCCCTAATAAACTACATTCTTGTTCATAATAATGAAAATTAATGCACCGAAAAAATAATATATGTATATTAGTTCCCATTTATAACCCTTTTAGCCACTTGAATTACGAGAAAAACGAAATAAAAAATAAACAAAAAATAAAAGTGCTTTCGTAAACTAGCGCTTGCTATAAAATGCGCCCCCGCAGGCTATATTCAGTAAACAAATATTCAAAACTCTCCAATATTGCCGATGTGATGTTAAATTTAACTCACTCACTCACTCAAAACTCTCCACAGCGCTTGGCGTAGTCAATGACATTTCGTGTAGAGATGATAGATCACTGGGGGGAGCTTATGCACACTCGATGACCCCTGACGTCACAGGGCATTGTTTTGCCCGTGTGACTGGCAACAAAATACTACAAATTACATCAATGGGTACTTTGCTGTGTTTGAAAAGTTTGGGATACTGTATTCTAAAGGTAGGCCCTCCATGGTTACTGACAAAGGACTCATGTTCGCATATCTTTCTGACTAGACACACATTCCTTCTGACTTTAAAGATAAATCTTCAGCCTACCTTTAGAATACAGTACCACAATATATATTCTTCACACAAAATCGTCAAGTATTAGAGATGAAATGATTTTGTTGAATATTTTGGCTACTGGAAACTGTCCTGGAACATTCACACAAGCCACTTTCACCTGCTACATTTATTCAGTACTGCTTCAAAAGCGAACTCAACCTTGTGTCGTCACTAGCCATGCTCATGCCTCCCTAATTCCTTCATTTGACACTAAACCGTTTCACCCTGCTTTCTCGACATTTTGTGTGAAGAATATTAGGAGTCGTTATAGAATCTATAATAGCCACTAAACGGGTACCTAACCCTAATGATTGTAAAGGGGTGATTGATTGTAAAGGGGATCCAAGGGAAAAGGAAAGAGTTGGGTGTAACCTACCCTAACACCGCAACACTTGGATGTGTTCAGCGCCAATATAATATACCTAATAAACTGCATTTCTGTGCATAATAATGAATTGATAAAATAATATATGTATTTTAGTTCCCATTTATGATCATTTTAGCCATTTGAATTACGAAAAAAAAAAGAAAAAAAAATATATTGAAAATAAAAGAGCTTTCATAAACTAGTGCTTGCTATAAAATGCGCTACCACAGTCTTTATTTAGTTTACAAATATTGAAAACTCTCAACATCGCTGGGCTTATTCAATGACATTGCGTATAGAGATGATAGATCACTGGGAGGAGCTCATGCACCTGCGATGACCCCTGACGTCACAGGGCATTGTTTTACCGGTGTGACTGGCAACAAAATACTACAAATTACATCAATGGGTACTTTGCTGTGTTTTGGGATACTGTATTCTAAAGGTAGGCCAAATTATCTGACTCAAAGTTCAACTGATCGTTGCCTCCAAATAGTATCAAATTTATGATATCTTACAAATATCAGAATAAAATAATGCACGTTAAGACTTATAATGAAATATAAATATCCTTACCTCCTACTTTGTTTCAAAACCAACCAATCAGATTTGTGTATTCTCTAATTTTGATTAGATTTCTTCCCAAACTAAAATGGATTCCTGGGTGATGAACTTTTTTAAAATGGTATCATTCTTGTGTTGTGTCCTTGTTAGTGAAGGGCACATGATACAGTAACTATTATGCTGTGCTGTAAGTTATTTCCAGCGTTTTTGTTTTGTGAACCTTCTATGTATAGGTAAGTGAGTGAGTTAAAGCTTTACGTCACATCGGCAATATTTCAGCCATATCGTGACGAGTTATGTATAGGTTAGACCATGAGGACCTGGTCTTTAATCATTGAAGTGTTCCACGCTTCGGACTCTCAACTAACCACGTCTATGATTAGACACCTGGGTCCTTGTGCTCTAACAAATTTAAGCCATGACCAACATTCAAAGAACCTTAGCCCCTTAAGTGTTTAAACAATGTCTTAACAACATTCCATAACCATTTAAAAAAAAAAATATTCAAGAAGTTTAGCTGAATTTTATGCTCAGCTGTGAGAAAACTGTGGGTTGTACCTTCATGATGCACAGGAAGTATGTTCCATGTGCGCTTGCCACGTAGGCATCTTGCTCTTTGGCAACTCAGGTTATTAAATGCACATCCCTGGGGAAGTATTCAATTCATATTGGACCAATTCTAGCATATTTATAATTTAAATCAATATTATTTGCCCATGTTGATGGGCCTATAATGCACAAACAGCTCTGATCAAGAAAAGAGTAACATACTGAAATAAGTTAGGAATAGCCTTGTTCATCTTGGGAAGAGACACTAGTAACATTGATTACAGTAACCATTTGTTAGGATGCACATGGTGTTTTTATTCCTTTATGGTTATGTATTGTTGTCAAACGAGGAATAACATGCATCCACTGGTTTTGAAATTAGGGTCATGATGTACAAATACATATTTTGGTATGTTGCTAAGTCTAGTGACTAAATGTGCATTGTTACACGAAGAAGCATGGCATTTGTTAGACTAAATGCAGGATAGTTCATTCAATGGTTGTCATAAGATGATTGATAGGCGGAACACTGACACATTTTCGTAATTTGTATTGCATTATATAAGAGACAAGAGCTTCCTCATCTCCTCGTCCCCTGTAGTGGCACACATGAACTGTTCATACAGAGTGCCCCTTACTTCTTTTCATCATTATAGTGTTGAATGCCAAGAGATGAGTTTTGTCTAGAATTGCAAAACTTTGAAACAGAGTGACAAGACATTTCAGGTTCCTTGGACTGACTGTATCCTGCTCATTCTGAGGTTAGTGGACTGGTGACCTCACATAACTAGTGTCATGATGCTGTATAAACAGAGATATTCCATGGTGTATTAACATGCATTTCTAATCTTAACAGAATACATGTCTTCATTGTTTGTATTTGTCTTTTAATGTTTTTTTAAACAATCATTGATTTATGCTTCCTGCAGATGCAAGTCATTTCTTTACAACTACCTGCCAACTGATGGGATTGGAAGTTGATGTCCAACATGTCCACCATATCGCTAGATTTTGACCGCAAGAAAGGTGGGTCACAGGAAACAATAACATTATATAACTTCTGTCTGAGTTCTTTTCAGTACATTGTCAGGAATGTAAAAGGGTAAAAATGGTGGTTCAATTCTGTATGCTGACAGTGCCTGAATGTCCTTCATGCCCAGTTGGGGCGGTCGGGTAGCCTAGTGGTTAAAGCGTTCGCTCGTCACGCCGAAGACCCGGGTTCGATTCCCGACATGGGTGCAATGTGTGAAGCCCATTTCTGGTGTCCCCCGCCGTGATATTGCTGGAATATTGCTAAAAGTGGCATAAAACCTAATTCACTCACTCACTCATGCCCAGTTATTAAGGTCATTTGGGCATGTTACCTGAAAACTACATATATGTATCTTCCAACATTACATTGATAAAAGCATCAACAGCTGTACATAGATGTCAAACTTGTAACATCAAGGGCATTCCTAAACAAAGTCCCCAGTACCACCTGCTTGTTGTGATGCCAACAACCATGGGGGTCAGGAGGTCACAATGACCATGTTGTCATGGGTAACAAGAACTGCCATCTCTCTGGTGTCACCTGTTTGTGGTGTATGGGTGACCTCCAGGCCTTCTGTCAGGTGTCACTTGTTTCTGGTGTATGGGTGACCTCCAGGCCTTCTGTCAGGTGTAACTTACATAGTGGTGTTTGCCTGACCTCCAGGCTTTCTGTCAGGTGTCACTTAGATAGTGGTGTTTGCCTGACCTCCAGGCTTTCTGTCAGGTGTCACTTACATAGAGGTGTTTGCCTGACCACCAGGCCTTCTGTCAGGTGTCACTTAGATAGTGGTGTTTTGGTGACCTCCAGGCCTTCTGTCAGGTGTCACTTACATAGTGGTGTTTGCCTGACCTCCAGGCTTTCTGTCAGGTGTCACTTAGATAGTGGTGTTTGCCTGACCTCCAGGCCTTCTGTCAGGTGTCACTTACATAGAGGTGTTTGCCTGACCTCCAGGCCTTCTGTCAGGTGTCACTTAGATAGTGGTTCGGACGACCTCCAGGCTTTCTGTCAGGTAGCACTTAGATAGTGGTGTTTGCCTGACCTCCAGGCTTTCTGTCAGGTGTCACTTACATAGAGGTGTTTGCCTGACCTCCAGGCCTTCTGTCAGGTGTCACTTAGATAGTGGTGTTTTGGTGACCTCCAGGCCTTCTGTCAGGTGTCACTTACATAGTGGTGTTTGCCTGACCTCCAGGCTTTCTGTCAGGTGTCACTTAGATAGTGGTGTTTGCCTGACCTCCAGGCTTTCTGTCAGGTGTCACTTACATAGAGGTGTTTGCCTGACCTCCAGGCCTTCTGTCAGGTGTCACTTAGATAGTGGTTCGGACGACCTCCAGGCTTTCTGTCAGGTAGCACTTAGATAGTGGTAATTGGGTGATCTCCAGGCTTTCTGTCAGGTGTCACCTGTTTGTGGTGTATGGGTGACCTCCAGGCCTTCTGTCAGGTGTCACTTAGATAGTGGAAATTGGGTGATCTCCAGGCTTTCTGTCAGGTGTCACCTGTTTGTGGTGTATGGGTGACCTCCAGGCCTTCTGTCAGGTGTCACTTAGATAGTAGTGTTTGCCTGACCTCCAGGCTTTCTGTCAGGTGTCACCTGTTTGTGGTGTATGGGTGACCTCCAGGCCTTCTGTCAGGTGTCACTTAGATAGTGGTGTTTGCCTGACCTCATGGCTTTCTGTCAGGTGTCACCTGTTTGTGGTGTATGGGTGACCTCCAGGCCTTCTGTCAGGTGTCACTTACATAGTGGTGTTTGCCTGACCTCCAGGCTTTCTGTCAGGTGTCACTTAGATAGTGGTGTTTGCCTGACCTCCAGGCTTTCTGTCAGGTGTCACTTACATAGAGGTGTTTGCCTGACCTCCAGGCCTTCTGTCAGGTGTCACTTAGATAGTGGTAATTGGGTGATCTCCAGGTTTTCTGTCAGGTGTCAATTAGATAGTGGTTCAGGTGACCTCCAGGCTTTCTGTCAGGTGTCTTTTAGATAGTGGTAATTTGGTGATCTCCAGGCTTTCTGTCAGGTGTCACTTAGATAATGGTTCGGGTGACCTCCAGGCTTTCTGTCAGGTGTCACTTAGATAGTGGTGTTTGCCTGACCTCCAGGCTTTCTGTCAGGTTTTACTTAGATAGTGGTGTTTGCCTGACCTCCAGGCCTTCTGTCAGGTGTCACTTAGATAGTGGTTCGGGTGACCTCCAGGCTTTCTGTCAGGTAGCACTTAGATAGTGGTAATTGGGTGATCTCCAGGCTTTCTGTCAGGTGTCACCTGTTTGTGGTGTTTTGGTGACCTCCAGGCCTTCTGTCAGGTTTTACTTAGATAGTGGTGTTTGCCTGACCTCCAGGCCTTCTGTCAGGTGTCACTTAGATAGTGGTTCGGACGACCTCCAGGCTTTCTGTCAGGTAGCACTTAGATAGTGGTAATTGGGTGATCTCCAGGCTTTCTGTCAGGTGTCACCTGTTTGTGGTGTATGGGTGACCTCCAGGCCTTCTGTCAGGTGTCACTTAGATAGTGGTAATTGGGTGATCTCCAGGCTTTCTGTCAGGTGTCACCTGTTTGTGGTGTATGGGTGACCTCCAGGCCTTCTGTCAGGTGTCACTTAGATAGTGGTGTTTGCCTGACCTCCAGGCTTTCTGTCAGGTGTCACCTGTTTGTGGTGCATGGGTGACCTCCAGGCCTTCTGTCAGGTGTCACTTAGATAGTGGTTCAGACGACCTCCAGGCTTTCTGTCAGGTAGCACTTAGATAGTGGTAATTGGGTGATCTCCAGGCTTTCTGTCAGGTGTCACCTGTTTGTGGTGTATGGGTGACCTCCAGGCCTTCTGTCAGGTGTCACTTAGATAGTGGTGTTTGCCTGACCTCCAGGCTTTCTGTCAGGTGTCACCTGTTTGTGGTGTATGGGTGACCTCCAGGCCTTCTGTCAGGTGTCACTTAGATAGTGGTGTTTGCCTGACCTCCAGGCCTTCTGTCGGGTGTCACTTAGATAGTGGTGTTTACCTGACCTCCAGGCTTTCTGTCTGGTGTCACTTAGATAGTGGTGTTCGGGTGACCTCCAGGCCTTCTGTCAGGTGTCACTTAGACAGTGGTGTGTGGTGACCTCAAGATCATCTCTCAGGTGTCACCTGGATACTGGTGTATGGAGACCTTTAGGTCATCTGTCAGACTGGTGCTTCCCAGTGAGTTGCTGAAAGATGGCATATCACAATGGTCACAAGTTGCTTTTGGTACATGTACTACCAAGTTAGCATATGGATCCAAACCAAGTTAACATACGGATCAACAAGCCAATAGCAGCAATTCCCACAGCATTCCTAGTTGTGGTAATAACCTCAGTATCGCTTCTAATATTGATGATATGCTGTACAATAATTATGTCATGCTTCCTAAGTACAGTCTACTTTCAGATGTTGATGTGAGTCAGTTGCTTGCCGAAAACAAGACTCTTGCCTCTGAGCTGAAGCAGTGTCAGGTAAACATGATGCTTACATTTGTCTGGGAAGTGGCCATGATGCTCACATTTGTCTGGGAAGTGGCCATGATACTTACATTTGTCTGGGAAGTGACCATGATACTTACATTTGTCTGGAAAGTGAACATGATGCTTACATTTGTCTGGGAAGTGAACACAATACTTACATTTGTCTGGGAAGTGAACATGATACTTACATTTGTCTGGTAAGTGAACACAATACTTACATTTGTCTGGGAAGTGAACATGATGCTTACATTTGTCTGGGAAGTGACCATGATACTTACATTTGTCTTGGAAGTGACCATGATACTTACATTTGTCTGGGAAGTGACCATGATGCTTACATTTGTCTGGGAAGAGACCATGATACTTACATTTGTCTGGGAAGTGAACATGATACTTACATTGTCTGGGAAGTGACCATGATACTTACATTTGTCTGGGAAGTGACCATGATACTTACATTTGTCTGGGAAGTGACCATGATGCTTACATTTGTCTGGGAAGTGACCATGATACTTACATTTGTCTGGTAAGTGACCATGATGCTTACATTTGTCTGGGAAGTGACCATGATACTTACATTTGTCTGGGAAGTGAACATGATACTTACATTTGTCTGGGAAGTGAACATGATACTTACATTTGTCTTGGAAGTGACCATGATACTTACATTTGTCTTGGAAGTGACCATGATACTTACATTTGTCTTGGAAGTGACCATGATACTTACATTTGTCTGGGAAGTGAACATGATGCTTATATTTGTCTGGGAAGTGAACATGATACTTACATTTGTCTGGGAAGTGAACATGATACTTACATTTGTCTTGGAAGTGACCATGATACTTACATTTGTCTGGGAAGTGACCATGATACTTACATTTGTCTGGGAAGTGAACATGATACTTACATTTGTCTGGGAAGTGACCATGATACTTACATTTGTCTGGGAAGTGACCATGATACTTACATTTGTCTGGGAAGTGAACATGATACTTACATTTGTCTGGGAAGTGACCATGATGCTTACATTTGTCTGGGAAGTGACCATGATACTTATATTTGTCTGGGAAGTGACCATGATACTTATATTTGTCTGGGAAGTGAACATGATACTTACATTTGTCTGGGAAGTGAACATGATACTTATATTTGTCTGGGAAGTGAACATGATACTTACATTTGTCTGGGAAGTGAACACAATACTTACATTTGTCTGGGAAGTGGCCATTATACTTACATTTGTCTGGTAAGTGAACATGATACTTAAATTTGTCTGGGAAGTGAACATGATGCTTATATTTGTCGGGGAAGTACCCATGAAGCTTACATTTGTCTTGGAAGTGGCCATTATACTTACATTTGTCTGGAAAGTGAACATGATACTTACATTTGTCTGGGAAGTGAACATGATAATTACATTTGTCTGGGAAGTGAGCATGATACTTTCATTTGTCTGGGAGTGACCATGATGCTTACATTTGTCTGGGAAGTGACCATGATGCTTACATTTGTCTGGGAAGTGAACACAATACTTACATTTGTCTGGGAAGTGACCATGATGCTTACATTTGTCTGGGAAGTGAACATGATACTTACATTTGTCTGGGAAGTGAACACAATACTTACATTTGTCTGGGAAGTGAACACAATACTTACATTTGTCTGGGAAGTGACCATGATGCTTACATTTGGGGTCCTCTTCATTGTCAGCTATACCAGTAATTTTCCCTTCTATAGCACTTACAGCTTACAGCTCTTTTGTGTGTGAAGGCGGGAAAACCTCACTTCTTTCCTGTGTGTGTTAGAGTCAACATGTCTACGTATTTCTCTAGCACATAGCTGTAGTCACACTATTCTAATACGTTTCAGCATGAGTTTCGTAATCCTACTAATATATTAGTAGTTTCATGGGCTTTGATTCATAAGTATTAGTTTCATAAGTGTTAACTTGCAATCACTCCATGATGTAGTCTTCCCCTCCTCAGTCACGTTGTCACAAATGTGGCCGATTTATGATCTCAGGCAACCCTAACGTAGAGTGTTGGACATGCAGAGAATCCACCTGTACACAGGACTATCACTGTCCCCTCTGTCTCCCTCTCTCCTAGAAAGCCTTTACCAAGCTTAATGACACTATTACTAAGGCTAAGAAGCCAAGAGAAAGGTCGATGATATTATCTCCCAGACTTATAACCTACCTCTCCGACACTTAATAGTCAACTGTGCTGCCAACACATCTGGAGTTTCCTGTCGCCCTGCTGGATCAATTATTTTCTCAGCAGAAGCCCGAGATGACATTAACTTTTTGAATCCCATCTTTCGGCTCTATAGCTGAAGGTAGAACAGTTGAAAAGACTCGATTCCACCCAGGTGCAGAAGAATCCAATGGCCAAGAGGCCACATGCGGGACCATCTATGATGGCCACATGTCAGCCTCCTACCGCCAGTGCTACAGCCTCCTCCCAGCCACTGGACAATCCAGCCACCAACCGATATTCCAGCTGTCCACCTTACCCTCACAGGTGGCAAGACCGGCCAGGTCCCCACATGGGTCTACTAACCATCTGATTAAGCCAGTAGAGAAGCCATCTTATGGTGTTAAGGAGTCACCCTTACCACTGTCCGGCTTTGTCCATGAACTACGATCTACAATCTACAAAAAAAGGTGAAATGAGCCATATGCATACTCCAGAATTTTCTCATACCTCCTACAAAATCTCAGATGGAATCTGTCCGGAAACTAAGAACTACACTGCATCAGGGAGATTTTGCCTTCAGCATAGATCTTCAAGATGCCATGCGCAGATTCATCCCTTATTTCAGAAATGGGCATCACTACGAGTTCCAGGTCCTTCCCTTCAGAATCTTGATTGCTCCATGGCTGTTCACCAGAATAACAGCACAATGATCAGCTATGCCCATCTCCATTAAATCCACCTACATGCATACCTGGAAGATTTTCTGGTGGCCAATCAAGACAAGTCTCAACTTTCTCAAAACCAGACATTTCTGTCAACTTATGACTTGACTGGGATTTTTGCTCACACCCATCCAGGATCTGAATTGCACCGGGACCTGCTTTCTTCTTCAGAAGGGCTTACTCTGTTCTCCAGAAGATAGATTTTACATCCCTAAATCTCATGATTGACAATGCTCTGATGTTACCAACTTGTACTAACAGATAGTGGATGTCCCTCCTCAGAAGGTTAACATTTCTCCAGTACCTGACCTTCAGAGGAAGGCTACAACTACAACCTCTTCGGAACCTATTGTTAGACACCGTGGGTACATTACCAATCACCTTCCAAGACCACCTCCTATGGTGGATACATCAACAGCATGTCATGACGGGCATCCCTCTCACCTTTTCCCCGCTTAAACATCATCATTTAACGGACGCCTCAGACTTGGGCTGGGGAGCCCATCTGGACAGAGACAGAGAAGGATCTCCACATCACCTGCCAGGAGATGAGGGCTATATTCCATGAGATCCAGAATTGGAAAAACTTCCTTACCAACTCACTAACTCAACACAACACCACAGTAGTGGCATATATACAGAAACAGGGAGGAAACAAGTTCAGTTCTCTGATGATTGAAACCTCGCTTTTATTCAACTTGGCCGACTCATGCAACTGCTGGATGGAAGCGAGACATATTCCAGGGAAGTTGAACATCCTCGCAGACAGCCTGTCCAGACACGTGAGGATCCTTTCCACAGATTGGACTCTCCATCAAAACATTTTTACCTAGATCACATCAAAATAGGAAACTCTGCAACTCGATCTGTTTGCGACTTGTCTGAATCATCAGCTCGCAGTCTACATCAGTCCGGTACCAGGTCAGAGAGCTATGCACATTGACGCTCTGTCTGTGGACTGGACCAATATATTTGCGTTTGCATTTCTTCCATGGTCTCTTCTGCACAAAGTGATACAGAAGATAGAACTAACAGACTGTACCATCATCCTAATCGCACTGATCTGCTCAAAAAGGCCTTGGTTTCACAGACTCCTGGCCCTACTAATAGAAGATCCTCTCCCAATATCGTTCCTCAGAGATCTGTGTCAACCCAGATTGGACCCTGTCTATGAAAACCTTCCCAACCTATATCTCACCATATGGAAGCTATCAAGCAAAGAATGCAACCCCCCAGATTCTCTAAATCTGTGGTGGCTAAATCATGGAGATCGTCTTCCTCTCTCCTTAATGACAATAGATGGGATACGTTTATTCAGTGCCGACGACAATTTGGATTAGGAAATGTTGTTGTTACTATCCCCATGGCTGCCTACTTCCGTCTACATCATTGTCAGGATAACAAGTTTTTCATCACGGTATATCGATTCGATCTTCATTCAGTTCCTTTCGATCGGCAATCATCTTATCTGAAGCAGACTCATACGTTTGTTCCTTGAAAGATGTTCATGTCCCTTGTACCTTCCAGAAATGGAACTTGTCAGTGGTTATATCAGCTCTACTAATGGAACCCTTTGAACCCACTTCTGCTACATTACTCCAAAAATCAAGGAAAGCAGCCTTCCTATTAGCCATGGCTACTGCTGCTAGGGTCTCTGAGCTCCATGGACTGGATTACTCGAGTCTCACTCATACCCCCAACTTGTCTTCCATCACCTTCTGTTCTCTCCCAGAATTTGTAGCAAAGAACCAAGCTGCTGCGCTTGGCCCCTTCGGTCACAGACATTACACCATTCCTGCGCCAGGACCTACGGTGGATCATCCGGACCGTCTTCTGTGCCCCATAAGAGCTCTCAAGTTCTATCTAGCAGCTATTGATCCCCATCACTGATGTTGGAAAAGATTATTCATATCTTGAAAGACTCCTTCCCGACAAAGACATTACTAAGGCTACAGTAGTGGGTTGGCTTAAAGCCACCATAGCCTCAAGTTATCGTCAGGCCCAGGACTCTCCTAGGATGGTGTTCCGTCAATGAAATCAGAGCTTTAGCCACATGTTTTGCCTCATGGAC